CACAGACGCTGTGGCTCTGGGGGGCTAGTGACAGGGGGCTGTTACTTCCTTTGGGCCAGAAGAAGGAGGGGAGGGGACTGCTGGCAGGCAGGAGAGGGGAGTGGGTAGAGAGGCTTCCTGAGGGTGCTTCTGGTGGAGGGAGGTGGCCAGCCCCTGGCCCCCCCAGCACACAGATGGCCTCTGATTCCTGCCAGTGGGGCACGCCTACTAGTTGACCGTCCCACAGAAGCCGGAGAGAGTTGAGGATGTGTGTAAAGGTGTAGAGAGAAGACACCCAACCCAGAGAGTACAGGTGGCATCTTCTCCTCAAACACTGCTCCCTCCTGTTTTTTGCTCCCGGGCACCTGGCCAGAAACCTGGTGTCCGGTGCCCGCTGGTCACTGTGAAGCATCCTCACTCTGCCCTGGATCTCACAGGAACCTGAGGACAGGGTCACTGATAGGAGAAGGAGGTGAGTCATGCGGAAGGAAAAGCATTTGAAATAGAAGGAACAGCTTGTGCAAAGGCCCTGAGGTAGGAACCTGTTTGGAAGGTTCCCACCAGGATGCCATCCAAGGCTGAGATAGAGCCTTCTATGTGAGGTGCCCAGCCCCCTTTCATTCCTACTGGACCTGGATCCTGACATCCATGACCCATCCAGGATGTCAGGGTCACAGATGTGGAGGAGCAAGGGGGAGAGTCATCAGAGCCAGTGGTTCTGAGGGGCCTGCAAGTCCCTATAAAGACTTGGTGTTTTCTAATATGGTGTGGGTGAAGTCACTGGGGCACTGGCTGCTTGTCTCCAGGGTACAGATTTGGGGATCCCAGGTGTCCACTCAGAGCCAGCACAAGTGCTGGAAAACTGTTCCAAGCCATCCCCTGGAGGGCCTTTCACCAACCTCCTTCACCCCTGAAGGAAGACTTGAGACTATACCACGAATTCCTGGCATTTGGGACCTCCACAGAGGCTTAAAACAGCAACTGATGAGGCAGGTGTGGGAGTCGGGGCTGGACGGGAACGTGGTGATAAGAACACTTGCTTAAATTAAGGCTTGACCAAGCCTCCCCAGCAGGATTGGCTTCTGGCCCTGGGTCAGTGGGGCTGGCCTAGTGCGTCTGGGGCAGGGCGCGGTGAGTGAAGGCCCTGCCTGCGCTCGCTCCCTGCACTGTCCCTCTAGGACAGCCTGGACCCACGGCCACAAGTCCCTGCAGCCTTGACGCTGAGGACAATTCTTGGGAAGTAGCTGCTGCCCTTGCCAGGCCTGCGCTGGTTGGGAAGAGGAGGCGGTGGCCAGGGGCCACCTCAGGTCATGCCTATTCATAACCCAGGCCCTGCTCCTCAGGGAGCAGCAGAGCAGATTCTCACCTGTGTCTGTCCGGGCTTTTGCAGCGTCTCCCAAAGGGCTGCGAGGGGAGGGGTCTTTCGCCCCCACCTCTTCCAGACATTTGGCCTCTGAACAGCTTTCTGTGCCTCTGCAAACCTCGGAGCCGCACTGAGGGGCTTTTTCTGAAGGCACAGACTCAGCTGTTTGTGCTTGGCTGGGGTTCGGGGTCTCCTCATGTGAAGTGCCCTCGTCAGAGCTGAAACGTCCCTTCCTGAGGAGATGTGGATCTGAGGTTTCCTGCTTTCCAGGCGCTGTAGGACCCCTGGGGGCTCAACCAGTCACGTGCAGGTAAATGTTTCCTGACAGCTCCCCAAGAACACGCCCGGATGATCGATCCCATTCATCCTTTTCTCTAGCACAAACCCCCGGGGGTGACTCAGGCCTCAAGCTCCGTCTCCCCTGAGGGGCAGGTGGAGGTGGAGGGTCACGGGGCGTGGCTCTCGCGAGAAGAGGCGCCCTGGCTCCTGCCGGTCGCCTGCCAGCTCCCCCTCACCCACCTGCTTCAGGGGTGTGCAGCAGTTCGCGCCCAGAGCCCAGGCCTGCGCTGCCCAGCCGAGCTCTCGTGGTCACGGTGTCACGGGCGGCGACTGCTTGCAGGACAGCGAGGCCTTCGAAGGCCCGGGGTGACCATAGCGCGACAGCCGGGCCGGGCGGGGCATTGGGGCGAGTGGGGTGTGCCCCTTCAGGAAGGGCGACTGGGGGGCCCATGCCCCGAGGCCAGGCAGGCCCCGGGCGCATTCTTCCACTCGGGTCTTGGTGTAATTTTACTTGGGCGTATGGTCCCCACGGAGGGCTTGTTATTTGTGCCGTTGGATGAACCCCACCTGCTTTGTTGCGCCTGGCAGCGCGTGCGCCCCCAGGGTCGCCCGGCTGCTTCCCCAACCATCGGGCGGGTGGGAAAGGGCGCAGCCCGTTCGGCAGCGTCTTAACATGTCAAACATTGTAAGAATGTCAGGGCCTCTTTTAGGAGCTTCTAAAAGAAACAACAGGGCGCACGGAGGCGGAGGTGGCTATTCTTAGCCGCGTTCCTCGGACGGGCCCCCAGCGCAGGCAAGGCGGTGTTCATCCTACAGGGTGTCCACCCGGGGACCTCGTCAGTAATGTGGGTGAACCTGAGAAGCATTATGCGAGCGAAGGAAACCGGATGCAAAAGTGGTAGGCGGTGTATGTCCAGGAAAAGGTGTCCATGTAGCGCTCCGAACGTCCCTGGCTGGCTGGACATGGGGTGCAACAGCGAGTGACTGCCAGTGAGTATGAGGGGTCTCTGGGGAGTGAGGCAGTGGTGGTGACAGTTGCAAACTTGGACATTTTTTTTTTAAGATTTATTTATTGATGCATACAGAACTGGGTGCAGGCCAAAGGTGCAGGGGTGGTGAGAGGCGTTTCCAGAGACAGAGTGGGGAGCAGAACACTGCTGAGGGGAGGAGCGGGCGAGGCAGGAGAGGTCTGCTGTGCCATGTGGGGCAGCTCTGGGGAGGGGTGACACTAGTGCTGAAGTGGCTGGGGCCAGTTTGGTAGCGCTGTGCTTCAGCCCATTGCCCCACCAGGGAGGGCCTCGTTATTTATCTATCTATCTATCTATCTATCTATCTATCTATCTATCTATCTATCTATCTATCTATCTGTCTATCTGTCTATCTGTCTATCTGTCTATCTATTTATTTATTTTTAAAGATTTATTTACCTGTGCATACAGAACTGGGGTACAGGCCAGAGGCTCAGCGGCGGCAAGAGGCTTCACCAGAGACAGAGTGGGGAGCAGAACAGGCAGATTGATGAAGTACACTGCTGAGGGGAGCAGCGGGCAGGTCAGGAGAGGTCTGCCATGCCATGTGGTCATCTCCGGGGCAGGCGGGAATCGAACTCATGCGGAAGTGGCTTTAGATTCTCAGTGCTGTGCTTTAACCCACTGCGCCACCAGGGAGGGCCTCCTTACTTATTTTTTAAATGCTGTAAATTTATTTAAAAATCACAGTACATTTCTAATGAGCAAATGTTCTAACAGTATTGAAATACCAACAGGTATGCCCTGCTCTGCGAAAGTTTGCGTATACGAAAGACCTGCATTACTACCCATTTTTGCTAACGGAAATTTGAAGGGAATTTTTGCTCTTACAAAAAAAGGTGAAAATCAAAAACAGTGTTCAGCTTGTGTTTTGCAGAGCCTTGGGGTGGCATTCACCCCAAGCAGCGCGAGTGGCATTGCCAGCTTCTTTCTTGGAAATTCCTTGATGTGGGCCACTCTGTTCCAGCTCCCTCCAGACTGCACTGTGTGTGGCTGTGATGGGAAGTAAGGTGCATGAGGCCTTTATAGGGCCTCATAGGTATTTTTTGGTTCTGAGAACACTCAAAAATGTCTCTCTATAAAGGAATGGTAATTGCTTCTTTGCTTTACACCATTTCAGCTTATGAAATATTTCATAGTAACACTGCTTTTTGGTAGTGGGGGAAATCTGGGAGGCTGTTTTAAAATGTTTTCTCATCACCCCCTTTGCAATGGATTCAAGTTCGATGTACTCTAATTTACTTGCCATTCTCTAGTTATTGGACACCTAGGTGTGTCCTGTGTTGTTGTTTTTGTTTACTGCTATAAGCAACAAAATTTGTAATGGAATTTTCTTGTTTAGGATTACATCTTCAAACTTGTTTTCCAGAAGAGGGCCTTCTAGGTCAAAGTTATAAACATTTGTTAAGGTTCTCAATGTGATAATAAATCATTTCCCAAAGCCGTGGGCCTGTTTATCGTTCTGGTTCCCTGCCCTTTCTGAATTTTCACCGGCAAATTGTGGATCCAGCTGCTCCTTCCCAGAACAAAACCCCACTATTCCATGGTGACCCTTGGGAGAATAGTAACTAAGAGCAGGCATGAAGGCGGTCCTAGGGAACTGGTTATGGTCTGTGATGTTTTGAATTGAGATAGCCCTTCATGTAGTAAAATTTCCCTCTTAGTGGAAGTCCAGCTAGATGAATGTTTGCATGTAAAACCATCATTCTCAGGAAGATGTGGGCATTTGTCCTTGCCAAAACCCACCAGCTCCTCCAACCTCTCCCATGGATTAGATTTGCCTGTGCTTGAATGAATCATAAAGAAAGCATTTTCAATGAAATGAAATTTAGATTTTTCTTTCGAATATTTTTAACTCAAACTGTTGTTTTAGTTTGAATGATATTTACATATGAACTTAAAGTATTTACAACTAAGTGATACTTTCCACTTAAAAATTGTAAAATATTTTTAATTTGATCAGGGTGTGGCTTCTTTAATGTGCGTTCCATAGTGATAGCCCTTTATGTGAGAGCCATCAAGCTAGCCACATGATCATGTACATGTCTGGCATGTTATAGCTCAACAGAAAGTTAAACTGTAGGTGACAAAGAGGAAGGCTTTCAGGGCACTGCCCCCTCCGTGGCCAGTGAATAAATGACAGGAATAAATGACAGTGACCTGCTTATGGCTTTGGTGGGCTGGGAACGGGCATTTCCTCTGAGCTAATCTGTGCCTCTCTTCTCTTCCCCACTGTGTCTCTGTCAGTCTTGTGTCCCCTCACTTGCTACTGGGGTCCAGCAATCCACATTCCGTGCTGTCTGCAGGAAGCACCGTCTCCTCTGGCCTCACGATCCCGGCACTGACTTGGCATGGCCATCTCATCACGCCTCGCGCTGTGGGAGCAGAAGGAAAGTGATGCTCGGGGCTGGGGCTGCAGCTGCAGGGGCTGACGGGACCGTGGCCTGCCTGTGGCACGTCCAGTCCCACCTCCACCTCTCCCAGCCAGCTGGTTAGCCGGGGCCTCTTGCACCTTGCTGGGCATTAGTACCCGTGCCTTTCACTCTTCCCACGCCTTCCTTTGTCTGTCCCCATAGCGGTAGGCAGTAGGCAATAGGAGTCCCCTCTCCTGATGACCGTGGGGTTTATGTGGGAGGAGGAATGGGGAGTAGCAGTTGGCTGCCAGGCTGTGCCACAGGGTGGGTTTCTGTGGTCCCTGCCTTCTGTCACCATGGAGACACCAAGGGGCTCTCCCTCTAGTCTTTCCTCTCTTATGTTTTCCCACAAGACAGCATTGGGCTGCCTCTTGCTGTGATGCCTGTTCTCTGTCCTCCTCATCCCACCTTTGTGCATGTGAGCTGAAGAGTTAGGGTGGGGGAGAAGCATCTTTCCTACAATCTCTGCCCTTCTTGGAATGACCTGGGTGGAGCACTGAGAATCATGCTGCAAGAAGCTGAGGCTGACACGGGCTGAGGGTACCTTAAGATTCACTCTCATTTACAAAGCCGGCTTCCGTGTCGCGGAGAGGGAGAGGTATGTGTGTGTGAGCACAGCTCCCCCGGCCCCTCTTCTTTCCTCCCGGGCAGAGGTCTGCATCGACCAGATGATTCCCATGGCCTGTGCTTTGTCTTCTTGCCTTTCTTATCTCTTTTGGATTCTCCCTTCATCAACTGGCTGCAGAGAGTAAGTCTTTGCCAGTTACGTACAGAGGGCCCTGATAAGGAGCTAATTTTAAACCCGTGTGTAGCTATTCCATAGTAGCACTGGAGATATGCACACACACACACATGCATAAATAAATAAGTACATTTATTTATATAAGTAGATATAAATAAATATATATAAAAATAAATATATATAAAAATATATATATACACACACACATTTTGCACACACACATTTTACACACACACACACGTGCACACACGTTTTCTTTATGAGCAGTCACAGTGATTGTGGTTAAGGACACACCCAGTCAGCAACAGCCAGTCTCACGCCTTAGCTCCCACAGTGACTGTGACCAGTGGCGGGATCTCAGTGGTAACCCAAGTCCAGCTGGCTGTGGCCTCACGCTCACTCCAGGGCTAAAATGCCGAAGTCCAGCCTGCTGACTTTAGGGCCTGGTGTTGGGGGAGTCTTGAGCTGCTCAGACCTGTTTAAGGATCACCAAGCAGGCGCAGTAGTAGGACACTGGACTCTCCCTGTGGGGCTGGATGCTTCGAGATGCCAGGGCAGCATGCCCTTCCCTGTTTTACTGTGTCCCTGGCATGCAGCAATGGATTAATTTATTAATCAGCTCTATTAAGTACAAATTGAGATGTGGCAGAGAATACGGGTGGTCCCTGTGGCTCATATCTGCTGGAAACCGGAAAAGCCCCCTTTGAAGCATCTGTCCCACATCAAGGAAGGAAAACAATAGCCTCTGTGGTCCTGCTTCCTATTATGAAGGAGTTTGGCCCAGATGAAATCACAGAGCGGGGTGAGCTCTGCTGCCCTCACGTTCCGTCTCCACGTGCTGCCTCACTCCCCGGGAGCCCCAGAGGCTCCCTGGCCCGGCTGTGGCTTCTTTCACTTGGGCTTATTCATAGATGTCCTCCTTGGGGCCCTCCCAGCTCTGCCACCCCACTGGTTCACTCACGGAGCTCTCTCCCTTGCTTCCTCAAAACAGATTCGGGAAGAGGATAAGAGCCCTCCACCGTCCTCGCCCCCTGCCCTTTTCTCTGTCATCCCAGGAGGCTTTATTAGGCAACTGGTCCGGGAGACTGAGAAGGAATCCAAGGAAGCAAGACTCAAGAAACAGACAGCACTTGCCTCTCCAGAAAGAGAGGTAAGTGGCGCTGCAGGAAGGGCACTAGGAGCCTGTCCAGACGCGCCTCACTCTGCGAGCCTCCTCTGGGTCACACCCCAGACTGCCATTGCTCCCACTGTCCCTACTTCAGAGAATGCCATTTTGTTCCCAGCTTGATCTGTTGAGCTCCCATGCATCCTTCAATCCCCAGTTCAAATCGTACATTTCTGGAAAGTTCCATTGCTGACTTTCTTCTAATTCCGCCCCACTAGGCTTTTCTTAACGTGGTCAGCATGGTAATTACTCAGTCATATGACTTGTTTGACTAGAAGCGTCTTGCAAATAACTTTCTCTCTCTCTTCAACTGTCTACCTTGAACAGCTTTCATGGGCTCTGGCCCACAGTGAGTATGCCACAATGTGTGTTTAATGAGCAAACAAATGAGTGAGTGAATGACATCAGTTGATGTAGGATTCGAGGGTTCATTGCTCTTGCAGCAAAGGGAACCTCGATAATAGCTACCTACCGTTAAGCAGGAATTTGTTCACTTTTAGCAGAAAAAAGTATTCAGTTGGTTGCACATTGGTACGAAAGTTGCATGGGGCACGAACTACTGAATTTTTTCCGTGTTAGGTGGCTCACCCAATTGCCCACCAACTGCCTGCTCTCCTAGCTCCCTGCCTGACACCTCAGGGTGGACACAATCCAATAATAAGAAGGTTCATCTTGGCACAGGTGGGGACCTCAGTACCCACTTAGCTCTGGTCCTTTCTTTTTTTAAATAATAAATTATTTATGCATGCAAGAACTGGGGTACAGGCCAGAGGTGTGTGTGTGTGTGGGGGAGGTACAGGGGCGAGAGGATTCACTAGAGACAGAGTGGGGAGCAGCACAGGCAGACCTACTGACATACACTTCTGAGGGGAGCAGTGGGGAGACAGGAGAGGCCTGCTGTATCATATGGGCAGCTCCCTGGCCAGGGATCCAACTTGAACTTGTGCTGCAGTGGCTGTGGACAGCTTCATAGTGCTGCGACCTGTGCCTGAGGGAGCCCAGCTCTCTTCCATTCTGATAGGTTGGCATCTTCCCCCAGCTCTTTAGCAGGAGCTAAAGATGAGTCTGCACTCCAGCCTGGAAGGCTTGGAGCTCTGGACTGTATCACTGTGTGAGACACTAAGGGCATTTGCTGTGTCCCTGGCATCCCCTCAAGGCAGGGTGAACACTGCTACAACGGGGCTGAGAGTTTCAGGCCTCGAGCTCGGGGGCGGTTTGAGGCCCAGGCCACCCCGGTCTTCCTTCCCGGCCCGTGCAGCTGTTGCTTGCCAGCCAGTCCCCCCATGCCTGCACCTGCCCCACTACAATGATTTTGCTGCATCCGAGAAGCCCTCCAGCTGTGGATGAGCAGCAGCTGCTGCAGTACCCTGCCAAGTCTCGTGGGGCAGGATGACAGGGAGGCAGACCTGATCCAAGTATTAGTGGGGAGCAGAGCCCACCCCTAAGGCTATGGTCCGGCCATGCTGCATCACACCGAGTGTTGTTTATCACGAGACAAGCTCGCTCTGCTGCTCGTGGGCGCCTCTGGCCCCGCCTGGCCGTGGGGAGGTGGGACTACACTCACTGTGGGCGTGGAGACTGAGGCCCAGAGGGCACAGCAGAGAGCAGAGCCACTGGAAGTCTGTGGCAGGGCTGAACTGGGAAGGGCTGGACTGGGGAGTGGAGTGGGGACAATGTCAGGGAGCGGCTGGAGGTGCGGCTTGAAGTAATTCACCAGAGACAGTGGGGGGAACAGAAAAATGCGGACTTAGTGGGGTGAGATGGGAGATGTCTGCGCATGAAGAAGGATTCGGGGCTCCCTTTGGTAACCTGCTTTCGTGGGCTTTTTATAACGGGCATTCGGTTTGGGCCTGTTATTTGCTGTGATGTCTGGTCTCGGATTTGACCTCTGACACAGAAAGCCCTGCTTCTGCATTCATGGGCACAGTGATCACTCTGGGACCTAATTCCCACAGCAACCTTATCCTTTTTTTTTTTTTTTTTTAAGTCTATTTGAAGCCTCCCAAAACTTCCTGCTGGGCACAGTGGGAGCTTAGTTTCTAACCTTATTAAATGGTGCCTCGACAGGAAGTAGGGTGGATGGAGGTCTAGGGAGTGAGACCTGGGGAGGGAAGCTGTGATGTGTAGGCTGTACTGGTGTCACTGTGACACCGTCGCTGCTAGGAAGCAAGCGGAATGGCAAGGATGGCGACACGCTCACCACCAGGCCTGAACAGGGGTTCTGCGCCAAGATGTGGATGGACAGGCTTCAGGCCACAGCAGGTGTCTGGACCATGGGCCAAGATATCACTGGGGCTGAAGCAGCAGCATTAGGACGTGTCCCTGCGAGGCAGCAAACCCTGGCAGCCCTGCCAATTTCATTTTCTTACCCCAGTCAGTAAATAGCTCCAGACACTATCCCCATGCCTGGTATAACGGTTTCAGCTGCTCCCCCTTAAAAGAAACAAGGAGCCATTAGCACCCTTGCCACTGTGCAGGGGTGGAAAGGAGGCCCAACTGGCGTTCCTGAGGCTGCCGGACGAGTGACAGGCTGAGCCTGGAGTAATCCTGGGGTTGACAGACAGTCATATACAATATCAGCAGAACTGGGTTCAGCGCTGACCTTGCTGTTCCATGACCCAGTCCAAGGCCTCTCCTGTCTTGGCCTCAGTTTGTTCATCTGTAAAATAGATGTGCTGTGAGCTTCCTCTCAGCCTCTGCTTCTAGAAGTGCTGATGCCCTTATATGCAAGGAGGCTGCAGAGGGGACTGAGATCTTTGGCGGCTGGACATCCTAGGCCAGGGACTGCATGGCTAGGAGGTAGCAATGCTGGCATTGGTTCTCATTTGGCCCATCCCCATGTTACTGTTACCTCTGCAGTGGTTTGGTTAAAAACAAGATACTGACTCACTTTTCAAAGTGGTGAAGATGGTGGTAAGATTTTTCCAAGTGTAGTCAGTCCCCTTCCCAGGCTAAGCCCTATCTGGCCCCAGATGGTCTGACTGAGCCACTAGGCCATGGGCCTCAGCCTAATTCCTTCAGTGGAATTAACCCACTGAGCCATAACAACTACATCAGCCTCTTTGGGTGAAGCCAAAATATCAGTGTTTTTGAAAGCTCCTAAGAAGTTCTAGTTCATGAGATTCTAGAAAGAAAAGTGAGCTTGTTAATAATGCAGCACAAGGATCTGTTGGGGCTTAACATTCTAGCCTGGTTTCCTGGCCTAACATCTTTCTGTTCACTAACCTGGAGGACGGGGAGAAGTACACAAATGACTTGACTAGGTCTTTATGCAGCTTAAGTAAGATACAGCATAGTGGTGATGTAGGGCCCATTGCAATAAATCTTTAAATGACAGCTAGCGTCACCATCGTCATGATCACCATTATTGCAAAGATGTGATCTTATAGCACCTACCACCTAAAACAGGAGAGGGAGGCATCTCAGGGCTACAAAGGGTTGCAGCTATGGTCATTGCTGCAAATGGTGCTCCACCCCCATGCTCTGGGGTGCCATAGGCAGATGAGTGTTTTTGGACTGAGTCTTCAGGCAACATTTTGTGGACAGTTGAGCTGGGTATGAAAAGCTGAGTAGAAGGTAGTGGAGTGGAGAAGGAAAGTACGGTCCAGGTGGCCTGCTCAGCATGAACAAAATCATAGAGGCAACAAGTGTCAGGTGTGGTGGGAGGTGCCTAGCACGGGGAAAGCAGAGGAGGAGACCAGAATGGAGACAGGTCCCTCCCTGGGAACTTGGAAGGGCAGGTGGTGGCGCTGAATGATTGTCCTGCAGGCTGTAGACAGCTGCCAATCTTTTTTGATGGGACTTAAAATGCTAGACAGGGAATTCACCCAGTTCAAAGGCTGTGGCAATGGCTCAGGTAAGGGCCAGTAGACCTGGTTTTGGGAAAGGAGAAACAGATGTGAGGCTTTGCAGGGTGGCATCAATGCGGCTCTGGGGCTGGTGCAGAAAGAGGTTGAGATGCCCAGATTCTCAGGCACAGGTGCGTGGGAGGCTGGCATTAGCATGTCCAAGATGGAAGGACCCAGGCTAGGCCAGGTGGGATAGTCAGGCTGCAGGCTAGAGCTGCCCACAGGCCAGTCCTGTGAGCTACAGCCATGCTGGTATGAGGACAGAGGTCTGGGGAGCTGAGTCTCAAGGCAGAAAAAGGGTCTGATACAGAAGCAAGTAGTGGACACTCCAAGTATGTAGGTCATGCACGAGTAGAGGACCTCAGGGGCAGAAACCAGGACTTTGACCTGGAGTAGGAAGTGGGGGAAGGGGGCCAGTACAGAAGTAGGAGCAGCTCAGCTGCCTTGGTTCTCTGTGATTTTCCACATCTTACCCTGTATAAAATCTGGATGAAAAATGTACAAAATGATGTAAAAATAAACTGTTAATATATACATATATATATATAAAATCTGGATGGTCAGGTGGGCTCTGCTTCCATCTAGGAAAAACCGAAGCTTAGATGCTAGCTGATGTTGTATGTAGTCATCCAGCTGGGGAGAGCTGTGACTAGGACTGATCATCCAACAACAGGCCTGAGTCCTTCCCCTCCCTTCCTGGTCCAGCGGGAAGAAGCAGGGCAGAATTAACGGTGGCAGTGACAAGAATAGCAGCTGCACTTACTGTTCCTGAGGATTAACTACGGGTTGGACAGTTTCTGTATATTGGCTGAGGTCTTTATGCTCACCCTGCAAGAAGAATGTCCGCTCCTTCATTCAAGGAAATAAGTTCAGAGAGGAAGTGCAGTTTGCCTAAGGTCACACAGCGAGTGAATGGCAGTCTCAGGAATTGTACTTGGATATTTTAAGCTCCAAAGTCCACTCTCTTCTACTTTGTTATTTAAACTTGGCTGGGCCATGGGCCATGGTCAGGGTGTTGGGGTTCAGCTCAACGTCTGGATAGTGCCTGGAAGTTGTTATAGTGACCAGGTGGGCGTGCAAAGAAATGAATGGGTGAGTGAATGAATGAAGGACAAAGCTGTCAGGTCAGCAAGCAGCTGACTAGGATGGTGGTATCTCTCCTAGGCCCCGGAACTTTCTGCCGTCCAGCCTAACAGCAAGTCCAGCTGTGACAACAAAGCTGGAAGCCACCAGCTCAGCTCTCCCCAGAACTCAAACATTCCGGAGAGTGAGGGGGTCGTCACCACTGACCCTGCACTGATGACTGGAGTCCATGGTGAGAAGCCCCAGGAGCCAGGCCCCACTGAGGCCCCAGCCAAAAAGCCCTTGCCCTTCAAGAGGGGTGTGAGGAGGGGAGACGTGCTGCTGATGGTGGCCAAGCTGGACTCAGACTCAGCCAAGCCGGAGCAGAAGACCCCGGCCCGTGATGCCCCCACCTGTGTGACTGCACCCCCGGCCACCGACCCTGGAGGGAAAAAAAAGGGGCCAACCCCAAGGACTGCTCCTGTTCCCCAGGGCAACACTGAGGACCCAGCCCCAAAGGCTGAGAAGACCCAGACTGGGAATCTCGGGGACCCAGGAACTGGGCTCCCGACTAAAGCCGAGAAGGCTCAAGGCGCGGTGGGGAAAGGGGCCGGGGTCCCCCAGACCAAAGGGCTGAAGGGGAATGATCCTCAGGGCAAAGAGGGGCCAGGTGAGGGGGGTCAGCAAGGGATAGCAGGGAAGGGGGGAGGGGAGGCCCCAAACAAGATGGCAAAGGGAAATGTCTCCAAAGATGCAGGGGGTGAAGGGAAGCGGGTGGGGACCCAAATCCAGGTGAGGAAGTCAGGAGGGCCTCTGGGCAGAAAGAGCAAGGTAGACAGTTTCCAGACACCGAAGGCCAGAGACTGTAATCTCCTCAGTCAGGCAGACAAGACAGGTGAGACTCAGGCTCAGTCCGCGGCGGTGGGGGAAGCTCTAAGAGTGAGCCAGAAAGCAGGTGCGCCCCGGGCTGAGACAGGAAAGGAGGGGCAACTCCAGGAAGAGCCCCAAGAGGCAGGTAAGGCTCAGAGTGAGACAGGGAAAGACTGTAAAGTCCCCAAGCAGGTGGAGACAGGAGGGGAGCCCCCTGTGGCAGCTGGGAAGGAGGGCCGGCCTGACAGCAGAGGGCGGGAAGCAGAGGAGGCCTGCACGAGAGTGGACGATGGGGCCCAGGCCCTGCACAAGGAGCAAGAAGCACCCAGACAGCCCGCTCTGGAGAGCCAGGCTGAGGAGCCTGAGGCCCAGAAGGAGAGCCAAGGGGGGCCGGCCCTGCAGGAGGGGGTCACAGCCCCCCAGAGTGGAGGCCAGAGTGGAGACTCGGACCAGGTGAGGGGGCTATAGCCTTGGGAATGGGGAGAGACAGGTGGGAGCCTCCAGAAAAGGAAGAATGTGAAGGACAGCCCTGGGAGTGGACGTGGAGATCGGTGGATTGGAAAGGGGTGGCCAGCCCAGAGGAGGGAGCAAGCACTTTTTCCTTGCCAAGCAGTGATCCTGAGACCCCAGTGTACCTTCCCCAGTGCACCTTTCCCAGGGTGCGACTGCCCAAAAAAGGATCTCCCCAGAATGTGAGAATTCCCCTGGGACTGAACTTAACGGTGTCAGTGATTGTTGTCAGGCTTGAAACTGCATTGGTAGTGGGTCGTTCAGAATGCCGATTCCTTGGTGCTTCCCAGGCCAGGGGCAGGCCACAGCATGCCGATTTCTTGGTGCCTTCCAGGCCAGGGGCAGGCCACAGCATCTAAATTTAAATAAACAACCCCCTATCTCTTGCCCTCCAAGATTCGGATTTAGGTGATCCTAGATCACATTGTGAGAAACCTCTACCTAAGCAGTTTCCATGGGGTAAGGGGTGGTAGTGTCATTTTCCTGTTTTAATCCATGTGATCTTGCTCTCAGGTTCCCGAGGACAGATGGTACCAGGCAGAGAAGGTCTGGCTGGTTCAGAAAGATGGATTTACTCTTGGTAATTTGGGGCAGCACCATTGGTGGGATTGATGTCTTTTCCTCTTGTACCCCCTTCTGCTGTTAGCCACGCTGCCAGGTTCTGATTACTGTTTGGGGAAGATGGGTAATGGAGGTAGCCTTAGTTGAGGGTCATTTTGCCTTTAGCAGTTGGTATACTGGGTGCTGTTGTCAAAAACCTCTGAGACGTGGTGATTAGTGATTTAACTCATTTATCAATGCAACACACATTGTTTGGTCCCTCAGGGAACTCAGAATCTAGTGCAAGTGGACAAATAGATTTCATCTCATGAGCCCACTTTTGTTGGCTAGTTGTGTCTGGCGACCACACTGTACTGAGAAATGACTGTGAGTCCCAGTGAAAACACAGCTGGGAAGACTGATCGATTAGTGATGTCTGTCATGGGTGCTGCATGGGGAAATGGCAGCCTGTATGCCATTGACTGTCACTCCATGTCTAGTATGAGGTGGGTCACTATAACCAACAATCTGGATGCCTACTCTGTGCCTTGCACTGTGCCAACTGGTAAAAGCCCAAGCTGAGTGCGACCCGCCTTCTGTCCTCAAAAGTCATTTGGGGGGTCACCATCTGTCATATAAATAGGCCCCAGCGGAGAGGATGCTGCCCCCTTTCTTACTGCTCCAGATCCCCTCTGCAGCTCTCTGGCTTGGCTCAGCAGCTCAGAGTCTTTCTGTCCTCTCTTGTCTTCCCTTCCAACAGCTACGGTGCTGAAACCAGATGAGGGAACAGCCGACCTGCCGGCAGGAAGGGTGCGGCTTTGCATCGATGCTGACAAAACTATCACAGAAGTAGATGAGGAGCATGTTCATCGGGTGAGTCCCCCTTCCACTTCCTGCTTGTTTCACACCTTCCTTAATCCCGCAACAGATTCCTGTCCCTGACTGCATATACCTCTCTGGCTCAAGTCCCTGGAGGGAGTTGTGGGACCACTATTTTGATGCATTGCTCTCGGAAGCTTTTTTTTTTTTTTTTTTAAATTGTTAAGGGATTACTACTTTGCCTCACAGGGTGTCCCCTTTATGCTGCACCTTAAAGAGACAAGTATGTGAGGTCTTTCATCCTTAAGTTCTGCTTGATGTCATTAATGGACTTTGCTAATGACGCTACCGAGTATGTCAGAGAGCAGCCGGGCTTGCTGCTTGTTAACCACATCGCAGCTGCCCATGGCCCCTCTTTTGGCATCAACTTTTGTTTGGACTTTGCTTTTTCAATTGTTTTTGCATCATTTTTGGAGCTCCCCATAAATGTATTGAGGGTAAGTTGGAGTATAGTTGTGATCACAGAAGGCCCTTCTCTGATCCTCTCCCTCCCCCGTAGTATACAGTTGCAGCAAGTGCTTCTTCCAGGGCTTCACGTGGACCTGTTCTTCTTCATCCCTCCCCGCTCCTCATTCGCCCACTCCAGACCCTCCATTGCCACAGGGGCTGGGAGGTGGCAGAGGCCCAGCCCTCAGAAGAAAGGCTCAGCCATCAGAGGCCTCAGTCTTGACCTGAGCTCCAGGGCACTAGGCCCAGAGAACTCCCCGAAACTGGAAAGATTGGTGGGAAGCCTCTGAGAACAGTGGCCTCCAGGAGAAGCTGCAGTTATCCCTGCTCTGGCCGGGCTTGGGCTCGGGCACAGTTCCTGGGCTCCAGAGCGTGATGGCGAGACTCAGGTTGGCTCAGTTTGACTCTTGGTGTCACGTGTCACAGCGAGCTCCCTGACAACAATCCAGTGTGCACCTCCTAAAGGTCAAGCCCCCCCACCCCCCGATCTTTGTGGTGTCTGAGATACAGGAGGGGTTCTGAGTGTTGCTGCGTCTGCCTTAGCAGCTCCCCTGTGAGGCAGGCGGGCGGAGAGGCTGGGTGCTATGGAGAGAGGGGCTGCTCTCAGGTCACGCAGAGGGCAGAGGGGAGGGGCCCTGTTTCACATGTAGGATCTTGTCACGATCATCAGAGCCCTTGGGCTTTCAGGCTGTGGGGTGTGTGGAGGTGCTGGCGTGTGTGAGTCAGAGGCCTGTGGTGTGATGTTTTACAGGCCAACCCCCCTGAGCTGGACCAGGCTGAGGACTTGGCCTCTCTGGTCAGTGTCAATGAATCCAGCGTCCTGAACACTCTCCTGCACCGCTACCGGGCTCAGCTGCCACACACCTACTCGGGACGGGACCTGATTGTCCTCCAGCCCGCAGGCCCCCTGGAGCCTCCTGCAGGCAAGGTGAGGAGGACCCCCAGGGACCTAGCCGGGAGGTGAACAGAGGGGATGAAGGGGTCCCTTTGCATCTCCAGGGAGAATAGAGCAGCCAGAAACCCCATACTTCTGTGAGTAGCATCCTGCAAGATCTGAGATTTAGGGGTGTCGTGGGCATTGTGGGTCATCAAAGAACATGCATTCCCCGCTCTGTAGAAGAGAGTGGTAGAAATAGCAGGAGCATTTGGGACAATAATAATAAACTATCGAAGGAGCATCGACACTGGAACAGGTGGGGCTTCAAGCACCTTCACGTATCAGGTCCGCCCTCTCTCCCACCTGGAAACACAGGCACGTTCCTCAGCCCGCGTGGACGAGAACTGTCTGGGCCAGCCACTGGACGCGGGTGCCGCCGTGGGAGCCAGGCAAAGCCAGGTCGCCGGCGCCGCTGCGCCTGGAACCTCACGCGGGGTCTCAGGAGCCCCAGACACCCACAGAAATCAGGACACACACACCCCGTTTGTTTTCGCTTTCTCCTGGGAAGTTTAGACAGGCCCGTTTGGGCCGGCAGGACCATCCACGCGAAGGCAGTGTCTCAGCGCCCCCTTGTGGCAAGGCGTGCAGCCACACCCGAGTGGCGCAGGCCCCCTGCAGGCTGCGCGGGGCTCCCGCGTGAGGAGAGAGCCAGAGGGCCCGGCCTAGTGCCTGCCCTCGCGGGGCTTCGGTTTTAGAGAGGAAGAGGTAAAGTAGTAAAGGTGAAGGTGGGGGAGAAGAGTGTGGAGGAGGGCAGAGGAGGTCGGAGGGGCCTGATACTGGGGAGATTCTGCTTTCTCTGAGTGTTGCTGCTGGAGGCTTTCCACAGAGCGGCGACTTGGTCCGGCTTATATTGTACCGGGGTCCCCTTGGCAGCCAGGTGGGGAAAAGGGGTGAAGGATGGAGGCAGGGAGGGCTGTCGGCAGTCACATGTCTGTCTGTGCGTCTTGCTGAGAACTTCTTGGTCAGGGAAGGGGCAGGCCTAGCTGGTGCTTGCACACCTCAGGTGCGCTGGAAAGATCCGGACTCCACTCAGCCTCAGTGTTCTTACCTGTCGGTTGGGGGTAAGGAGTCATATCTTGCCTTCTGGAATTCCAAAGGACAAATCCCTTCCTGAATCCCCCTGCCCCCAGTGCTAAGTCCTTTAAAGAATGGACACGGCTGAGGTCCCTCCTCTTCCCAAGACTTCTCTTCTCAGGGGCACCCCACACCTTCAGTCACTGTGGGCACTGTCCGGCCCCTCCCCAGCCTGACTGGCCAGGGCCAGAGCCTGGGATGGCCTCAGAAGCACTGGAGAACTGAGCGCTTTGCCCTCCTTTGCTGTGAGGACTGTGCTTCTGTTATGGCAGCCTGGGACATGAGAGTCTTCTGAGAAGCTGGGCTCTGAGGTCCCCTGGAGGGTGTTTTTTAGGGCCCCCTAAGGCCATCCAGATTCTCACTGGCTACCGTGGGTAAGGCATTCTGGCCAAAGGGCCTGGATATGCTCTACAAGATGCATTTGAGTTGCGTGATCACCTTAAGCTCCTTTCACCCTGGGATGGGAGTGAGGGAAGATCCTTCTTCCCTCAAGTCACCCAGCCTCCTCCTACACTCAAACCCAGAGCCAGGTACCTTCTCTTCCTTGGTGGACAAGGCTTGTTCCTCGAGTGGCCACCAGGTGGCAGCACACACCTGTGGTGAAGCTGGGACTGGGGCCTCCTTGAGGCTGGGCTGCGCGGGGGATCACCACAGAGTTGGCTGCCCTTCTCACTGGGGGCCTGGGCCCAACTGGCTGCTGCGAGGTGGGCGTGCCCCTTGGGAGGGCAAGTGTTTGAGGTGTGATCATGGTTTAACTATGGGGCATAGACGGGCCCTCCTCTGCTGAATTATCTGCGACGGTGTGTGCATGTTGCAGTGAGCATGCCTGTGGGCAAGCGGCCGAGGTGCCCGTGCACAACTGTGTTGGCACGGGTGTGTGCATGTCCTTGTGTGTGTACACAGAGGCCCTTGCTGCACAATTCTCCCTTCTCTGCTCCAGGCACAGGCAGAAGGGATCATTGAACGGGAGAGTCTGTCCCCTGAACTGCAGTGTTGTGAGTGGGAGAAGGTTCTAGATCTCAGACCCCTGAGTGCCTGCTATATCCTTAGTGCCCTAGGTCTATATCCAGCCAATATGCGGGGTGTCTCCCTTTTGGCAGTCTGGGGGGGGGGCTGCTGAGCTCTGCTCTGCATCAGGATGGGGTCTTGTTACTGTTCCTGGGGTGTTTTGGTGTTTGACGGGCACATTAAGTGAGGACACCAATAGTCCCAGGAGTCCATTCTGGGAGTCACACTGTTGGCATTGCAGAGGGCAGGAGAATTTGCTGGGTTCACAGGGGTCCACCTAGCGTCCAGAGTCCACTTGTCATCGGACCCCTTTCCCTCTTGTGGGTGCCCTCCCCCCACCTCGCCATCCCACGTGCCCTCTTCCCTCCCTCCCAGCACGGGCGCACTGAGCAGACTGTTGTCAGGGTCTCTGATGACTTCGGCGCTGCTGGGCCCAGTGGTCAAGTCTCCAGACTCCTCCTGGGAGCCGCCGCAGCTTTTGATGTGATGGTCGCTCCCTTGGCCGGCTGGAGCCAGGGCTGTGCCCCTGGCGCTCCTCGGCCTCCTCTGCTGATGACCTTGCTGGACGCCAGGTCCCTCTATCTCTCCTCCTGAAACACCTTCCCCCTGGTCGCACCCAGGCTCACAGCTTTGCTGTGACTCCTGCTCACTGTGACTGCGATATTTGCTTTGTTTACCATTTGTCTCTTCCCACCAGAAAGCAAGCACCCTAGACAGGTGCTTTTTTTCCTTCAAAGTGGAGTTTATTAAGGGAAAATTTGCATACATTTAAAATCACCTTTTTAGCATTCCGTTCTGTAGTTTTTTGACAAATATGTGTCACTTATAACTGCTTCACCCTCTCACTCCAGGATAGTCCCTCTCCCCCAAAAGTTCCCTGGACTCTTGCGGCCATCTCCCCAAGACCTGTCCTGGCAGCCACTGGTTTGTCTTTTGTCCCTATATATATATATATATATATTTTTTTTTTCCTGAAAAGTCATGTACATGGAACCTTATAGAATGAATCTTTTGAGTCGGCTTCTTCTGCATACCGCAATGCACTGGAGATGGACCCAGATGGTGAGCCGTCAGCACTGATCCCTTTATTTGGCTGTATGCTCGCTCTGGTGAGCTTAGCCATTTATCGGCGACCAGTTGCCTGTGTTTACCCAGACTGAGGACTTTTCTAGAACGTAGGACTTTTAATGCTAAAACCATGATGGTTTGCTGTTTGAATTCACTAGGGTATTGAGGGCTGTTAGGACTGTTTCTGGCTTTTTGTGATTTTTGAGTGTAAATTCAACGTTACCAGTGACGTAGAGGGCTTTTTTGTAAGCATAAATGTGCTTTTCTCTGGGGTATGTAACTGAGAATGGGATTTCTGGGTTGTGTGGTGAGTGCATGTCTCACTGCTTCAAAAGCTGCCAAACTGTTTTTCAGGGTAAGTGCAGCATTGTACACAAATTCCTATTACTCAGCACCTTCACCAGAACGTGGTAGTGTTAAAAATATTTAAAATAATATTTTAGGCATCTCCTTGTGGTGTGGTATTAGGCTCCCAGGGCCTGTTACATAGTAGACACTCAATGAATTTTGTAATTAAATGGATGAATGGACGAATGAATGAAGTGGAGGGGGCTTCAGGTATCACCTAAATCTGTTATGGCAAATGTATAGCACACATACCGCCCAGCCCCCATCCCCGCACTGTTTCCATGGCAGACATCACTAGTCAATTTTGCCGTTTTATCCAGCTGCCGCTTATCAGGCAGGTGCAAGCTGATAATGCTGATAATTTCCGAAGCAAGACCACGTGCTAACACAGCTCGGGTTCAAGGCCGTCACTAGCTGGAGGGAGACCCAGACCCAGAG